TGATGCGTGTTTTGTGCTTTGTCTGAGGTGCAGGTCTTTCGGCTGGAATTGAGGGTGACCTTTTCAGGAAGGCACTTAATCTCTCTTCTTCCTGTTGTGATTAAGAGGTGCAGAACCTGTGAACTGTTGGGTTTCGGGAAGCGGAGCACTGTTGACTCTGCCCCTTTTCTCTTTTCCGTGTATCTTTTTAAATATTCTAAGCACTGCAGGCAATTCTTAGGGATGAAAGTGATTTGCTTGATTCAATCGGCTTTCTGCTGTACATTCTTCCCATTCCAATATCCATTTTTCTTGTGCAAATGGTTTGACTTCAGCTTGGTTTGCCTTTATCATATTTCTCATTGCCAGGGCAAGATTTCAAAACTACTGTATATAATTATTATATAATGATTATTTTACACCTACCGTGTAGACGTCAGCTCTTATGTGCAGACAATATCCACCAACACCCAAGCATAAGATGCTTTGCAAATGTTTATTGAGCATTTAAGCATAATATGTTTTGGCTTGACCTGCTTGGTCAAGAGGTAGCTGCCTGGGCGAGGGACAATGAGGCTCAACCCCCGCAAAAACATAAGTGAGGCCCAAAATCACCAATGCAGAAACAGGGATAGATGGAACGTACAGGCACAATATGGACATGAGGATATTATAAGTAAAAGAAAATGCAGGCACTAAACTTCTGTAGGACGCCTGCTGACTAAGCTGGAGGTGGGACGCCGGACATACCTGGGACAGAGGGTACGCCAGGGGGAGCAGCAGGGATTGAGAGGAAAGAACCAAGCAACAGAAGCAGAATAGAGCACAGAACAACAAGTCACGATCAAATTAAAGAACATGAAGGAAGGAAGAAGGCATGTGACTTGAAATACTGAGGAGCATGGTTCATGTACTGTATAGATGAATAATGAAGTTGGGTGAAGGGGAGACAAGTACGATATTTTCTCTTTTGTAGTGTCTTTTTTCTGCTTGTTGTTTGGAGCATGGTCCACATAAACTAATGCAATAAAATGATAAGGGACTCTGAGAGTTGAGTGTGAAACGAAAATATTTCTCTTTTGTTCTGTCTTGTTTTTTCAGCTTGTTGTATGGAGAAAGGTCCACATATAGAATGAGTGAGACCATACGTAAGGAAGGTTAGAAACAATTAGCATACTGTTGTGTTTTATTGTAATTTTTCTTACTTTCCCGCTTGTTGTTTGTATAGTCCACATATAAAATGAATACGGCAAAAATGTGAGTAGAGGTGTGTGCAAGAGTTAAATATATACAGCAAACGTCAGTAATGATTGTGATTTAAAACAGCTGGGTGAGATTGGCTTCTCCATCATTCAGTTATGAGCTCCCATGTATATTAAACTCAAAAGATGAAATTGCACATACAGTTGTCAGTGGGTTGGGGTAAAATATTCTTGTTCAAATAAAGTTTATTTTACAAAACCAAATATACACTTGAAGACAGGTACAAACATCCTGGTATTTCATGTTTTATGAATATGGCCTCCAGACAGTGTATATTCATCAGCCTTTGGGCTCTTCAACTCAAGACTTTGAGGATCAAAGCATAAGTGTGCCAGACTGTGAAACAGTTGTGTGGAAAGAGCACAGGGCACAGCTGGGAGCAAAACAGAAGACAGCTTCCTTTGTTTTCACAGTCAACATAATAGATGAATCCAAAATTCCTTGGGTTAAGAGCTGTGAAGAGTCGTCATACAATGGTGTAATGGTTTTATATTTCCAAGCCACTTAAATTGATTATTCAGTCTTTTAAATTTGAATTGTATTTTCTATTGAATTTTAATTAAATGCCCCGGAGAAGGACGTCTGCTAAGCCAGTAAAGAAATAATTTTAAAATGGTAATGACACTAGCGGATTGACTGTATCAGTGAGTGCTTTATCAGTGGGATTGTGAGAGAGCTCAGGACGTTTTAATGTTGAGCAGTCCTGCACATCTGACATGAAATGTGCTGGTTTCAAAACAATGGGCTCTGAATAAGCCACAGATAAGGATCACCCTCTAGATCACCTGTAAGAGGGTGCAGAGCTCACCTTTCTCATGAATCTCGTACTTGTCGATCATCTGCTCCGCAGTCCTTTCACTGGCAGCGATTTCTATCTGCTCCTTGTGGAGGAATTCGAGCAAGCTCTTTGCCGTCAGCTCCTTCCCTCCAGGGGCGTAGCAGCGATAGATGTGCATGATTTCCGCGCGCCTCGAAGAGGGAGCTTTTCCTCGCCTCATCCTTTCTGTTCTCCCACTCAGCCTGGAGCCAAACAGCGAGGAAAAGGGCAACAGAAAGACAATCTGTTCAAATGTCTCGACTTGGGACATCTGAACTGGGATTCAGAAGTAAAGAAACAATTTGCCATACCAAATCCAGTGGGTATAAAATGCAAAAGTAAACAGCAGTTTCTAAAACATGTAGAACAACCCTAATGAAAGTTTACTGAAGTATACTTATTATCATAATTTAACCATGGCTTGATCATAGCTTCTCAGGGGTTTTGCTACAATTTACTAGACTGGACCATGGGAATAATATGATGCACCATAGTAACACATTCTATATTTATCTTTCAGCATACTGTATAAGTCTTTCCTATGGATAAATGGAGTAAAGCACAGTCAAACCACAATAAAAACCTGAGGAAAGTGAAAAAATCTTGTGTTCAGTATGCAGTGAAAAACCATATACTTGTATATAGTACAGTGAAAAATAGCACTTATTGCAAAAGTCTAGATGATGATGGTTATTATTTTTCAGGGTTCTGAAACAAAGACATTATAAAAATCATGTTTGTGATTGTAATACTTATAGGTCAAGAACTCCTCATTTTTTCTCGAATGTTTTAAAGAGGACATTGTTATTAAATTAATGGCTGCTGCTTGAGCTGATGTGTTCTTTAATGAGCTCTCAGGGCTGAAGAGATTTCTAAGCTCTCATTAATTCCCCAGCTGTGTTTGTCACCTACTCTGTTTCAAGACGTTTTCTTTCTGACCCCGTTTAGTCAAGAGAGATGAAAGCGACCTCAATGTCTTTAGAAAATATCTTGTCCATTTCCTGCAGGTCCTCTGTGTGGGCTCTGTCAACCCAGCTAGGAAGACATCAGTAAAAGATGTAAAGAAGAAATAAATCTTACAAAACTTCACTCTCTTTGGCCATTCTCAACCACACAAGAGAGAAACATGGTAAGATTCCTGAACTTGCAACAACCATAGAACAGACAAAAAGACAAAGACAGAGGCTTGCAGCAGGAGAAACAGCTTTCAAGGTTAGAAGTGTGTGTTAAGAGCATATAGTAGCAATGGGTTATAAGTATGAATACCAATTAGCTGCTGTCCAAGAATAAACTGCCTTTTAACTTCCTACTCTGTCCTAGTGTGCATACAGAGTTTTAAAAAGCTAAGATTAGTTGAGTTTTAACTAAAGTATTTGATTTTATATTCCACCAAGACTGAATAGGAATTCATAAAAACAGTTCTATCTTATGTAGCATGGTAAGTGTACAAAGGCCAATTTATATTCATACACATAACTCATTTAGAGACTATTTTGAACCACAGCATAAATATATTAGTGAAAAAGAAAATGACATTTTCGTGCTGTACACAAGATTTAAATTACTAAAGCTCTGAACTAAGTGATTGTTTAAACTTTGAATATAACATTTAAACTTATAACTTCTAAGGAAGATGGATTAGACAGTATCAGTATGTTTAACTTACTTGCACTTTTCTGGAGGATTTTCACAAAATATTCAGTAGATGAACTTTCCAAAAAAACCTTAAGATGTATGGCAAAGTTTATATGTACAACTGGACTCAATTCCGTGAACTAGAAAAATACTGAATTATTGACATCTTCAACAACATCTTTACTGCATTATGATGTTCTCTGTTGCTATGACAACAATAACACAGCAGTGATAAACAATAAGTGTTGTAGTTTTAAAAAGTGAAACTCCTTTGTTACAACAATTAGGGGCTGTTTATAGTAATATAATTATTTTCAAATTTGTACATAAATGTATATAATAGGAAGTAAGACAACTAATAAAATACCTAATTCACCACATCTGAAGTATTCTAAACTGAATCTATAAAAGACAGAAACTTTGACAAAAATGAATGCTTAAACAAGAGTGATACATTTTGCCAATGCACAATAGTGTCTTCTCTTGGGATTTTTGTGCTTGTTTACGGTCTAATTTGGTGTTTAAAGAAAGGTTATATTTCTGATCTATGTGATACAGATGCCTCTTGAAAAGCGCTCACTACCACAAATATGAAAACATCTAAATCCTTTCTTTAAATGTAGTCTTGAGTTCTTCATTGACTAATATCTAATAGATTTAGGTTCATCATGGAGAAACCCAGTTGTGGAGGTGGGTTGTAAAGCTGTAACTCACTCTCCTGTCTCTCCTATCTCATCCCTTGCTTTTGGTGTTTTTATACTGTAGATAGTGTTGCTGATACAAGCTGGTATTGCAATTTGTGGGGAAAACAGTTAACTTTTATGCCATCTGGTCCCCACTTACTTGGGGCTGTTATCTAGTGAGATATCCCCGACCTTGTTGATTTAATGAAATTCTTCTGCTGTCCAAACATACTTCAACAGATATCTGCTTTGCTTTATCAGCCAGAATGAGTTTCCAGAAGAAGGACAATAACAATAAGTAGCATACACATCTGTGCTACACCCAATACACAATAGCGTCTTCCCTGGGGTTGTTTTTTTGCTTCTTTACTGTCTAATTTAGTATTTAAAGAAAGGCTATATTTCCATTCTATGTGATACAGATGCATCTTGAAAATCAAATCCTACCACCATAGGATTTATTTATTTATGAAGGTAATATTGCCTAAAAGTATCATGTTGTAGCTTTGATTTATAAGAGGAGTTTCTGGCTTCTCTAATTGCTTTGCCTTACAGTATTTTAATCACTTTTTATGCACAGCTGGTCAAAAGCCTAAATCAGAAATTAATAAGAACTACAAGAAAGTAGCACATGAGAAAACAACACAAAACAGAAGAATGAGTTTGGTATTGTTGGAATGAAGGTGCAAAAATCTTCAATGTACATTTTCTATGAAGGTGTTTAGGAATAAATCACCTGTTTCCATTTTACAGTACAGAAGACAAACCTCCCATTTGGCTACTGTATAAAGCATACTCTCCACTGTGAACAACTTTTTTACTCATTATAAGGTGAGGACAGATTATGTTTTAAACCATAAAATATTCTTAAGATCGCCTTCTATGGGCTGCAAAGATAAAAAAAAAAATTGCTCAACATTACTACACAGAATATTAAAGTGTACATAGCATAAATGGAACAAAAGCTCTTTATAGTGTGTGATTACCAATTCAATCTTTACTAATACATAAGATTATTGCTTTATTACAGAAATTTTTTTTTTCTGAGTATGAATGGTAGTTTGTAATTTATTCATTTCTGTCATTGCTTGGGCTGTATAATGGGGTTAGACCAACCTCTGAATGCTGTAGTAGCTGTCAAGGTCCTGAGGCTGCAAAACTGTCCCAAACCATGATAATCCCACCACAAAGCTTGGTTTGGATGAGGTTCTTCTGTTGAAAGGCAGAGTTCGGTTTTAACCACACAAAATGGTTCCCATTGTGACCAAAGAGTTGTGAAGCATCTGTCCATTATTCTTTTAGTTTTCTGGGTTGGCCAGGTGCTCTTTGGTAAACTTGAGACACCATTGGACAACAGTGGTCTTTTTAGGGAGCAATGGCTTCTCCCTGGCTATCCTCCCATAAAAAAAATAAAACTCCTGCCCAATCTTTTCCTGATGGTTGAGGCATGGACACTGACATTAGCCACAACAAGAGAGGTCATGTAAAAGCATGGGTAGAGGGTGTTTCCACCTAAAGTAGTGGGAAGGAGGAGTTTTTAAGGGAAGCGACTTTATTAAGAAAAATTTGGGACCACTTTTCCTGTATTGTTTGAATGTTGCCTTGGACATTCTGTCCTGTATTTGTAATGCCACGGCCTGGTACTGCCACAAGGGTGGTGATGTGTCAGAGCCCAAGTGCAAGTGACCGGGGAGTGGCGGAGACTCAAGGAGACTCAAGGAGTCTATTGACTGAGGGCTGGGATGCTCTGGGAGAAAGGGAAAGTAAAAAAAAAAAGAGAAAGGTGATGACAGAGTAATTAATTACTGTCCAGTGGGGCTTAATCAGCCCAGGCCACTGGACAGTAATTAATTACTGGAATTACTGGAATTTCCTTAATGGAAAGGAAAAGGAAAGAACAGAACTGGCGAGCAGAGCAGGAAAGGGTCCAGCCAGTCAGCAGGAAAAGTGCAGAGCAACAGTCCGGGAGATCCCAGCTCTCTGCATACCTGGAGACCAAAGATAGAGGCTGACACTGCAAAGTGCTTCCCCAAACTAGACCACTCATCCCAGCCTGCCAACCGGAATCTGGGACGGAACCAGCTACCAAGCTACTGAAGCACAGATCTGGGAGGCAGCCCTCCAAGTAGCCAGGGGTCCAGGCCACAAATCCACAGGCCGGTGCACGAGACAGGAAAAGAAGTCTCCTCAAGGCACAGCTGAGCTTTACCCCAGGGGCTCTACCGAGAGGAGGGGTCTCGCCGAGCTGGAGAGGCAGGAAATCCCCACACAGCGGTCCAGTTGGAGGGCCCAGGAGCTGGCGATTCAAGGTGCACGTTCTTATGGGGGGTCTCCTCTGAGACGGGGCCAGGCCAGGTTCACTCTCTGACTGAGGCGTCTGGGTGTGAATGGAATCGGATACCCAGGCCTCCTCTGGACCAGCTGGTGGAGGCATCTGTGAAGGACGGGAGGCAAGGACACGTCTGAAGATGCATCTCAGCTCTCAGAGCCCTGAGTCAGCACAGCTGCAAGGATTGGTCCCAGTCAGAGCCCAGGAACAGGACTCCTCAGGGAGACCAAGCTCACAGGGAAATGCTCTCCAGACAGAGCGGACACAGGACAGAAAAAAAGGCTGTGCAGGGACACTGGAAGGAGACTAAGGAAAATTAAGGGAAAGAAA